AACCCTGAGCCGGTGAGATTTGAACCGCTGAACTGCTGATCTAGCAGTAGCCTGCAGTGCTGCATTTAACCACTGCGCCACCTTGGCTCTTAATTCAAGAAATGTTTCCTATTCATTTGTGTAAGCTTTTAAAGGCAGCAGCAGATGTAGAAATACATACGTCATATATTCTCTGACCCAGGGTTTCCCAGCATTGTTCACTTTAAAGTTTGTCACAAACTCTCAAGGGGACCAAGCTCTAATCAGGTCCAAAGTCCTTGGCTGACACTCCTGAAAGGCCTCTGCCACAGGTGGGCCCTCTTCTTCAGAGGGACTTTCTCCCAAGGGCATCATCACCCCTCCGTCACCTGTCCCCCCCTTACATCCATGTCATCGCAGTAGGTGGAGTAGGCGCCATACTGGAGTCGGCATTGGTGGCTGACGTCGTAGAGGACTCCCGGTGGAACCGAGGGGAAGTCGATCACATCCTTGGCTGGGGGATCATCCAGACAAAGCCCCCAGCCCCGGCTGCAAAGAGACACATCAAGTAAGCAGGAGGGAGGGAGGGGGAGGGAGAGAGGGGAGAGAGAAGAAGGGTGGGAGAGAGAAGGAGGGAGAGGGGGTAGGGGGAGAGAGAGAGAGAGGGAAAGAGGGAAAGACAGAGCAAGAGAGAGAGAGAGAGAAGGGGGGAGGGAGAGAGAGAATACAATCTGGAAAGGATCCAGAACAATTCACCTAGGATGGCTCTCGACTCAGGGCACCAAGAGGGGGAAGGGGAAAGGGAGACCTGAAGCCTGTGGAAAGCCCCTCCCTGATTGTACAGCCTTCTGCTGCAGCCTCCATCTGGCCCCCTCAGCCCACCCAGATCAACAGGGCTTTCTTAACCAGAGTAGATCTGGAAGGGACCTTGGAGGGCTTGTCTAGCTAGAGGCGGAAGCCCAAGACCATTCCCGTCTCTTCTTCAAAGCCTCCAGTGATGGAGCACCCACAACTTCTGGAGGCAACTTCTGTTCCACTAGTTAATTCTTCTCCCTGTTAGGAAGTTTCTCCTTAATTCCAGGCTGCTTCTCTCCTTGATCAGTTTCCATGTTCCTGCAACGGTTCGTCCTATGTTTTAGTCTCCAAGTTTTTGATCATCTTGGTTGCTCTTCTCTGCCATTTTTCCAAAGTCGCAACCTCTCCTTTGTAACCAAACTTGGGCTCAGTGAGGCTCAGTGGAGACCCACAGCATTTACTCCTAGGCACTCTTTAGAGTTGACTTGGCCCTCCCCCCTCCTCCTGGAGGAAGCCACTCGTGCCCAGAGAGTGGCATCAAAGAGGCGAGTTGCCCTGGGCCAAACACTGAGTCTTCTTGGCATTGCTACCCAACAGGTTTTGAAGGCTGCAGCAGGAGGAGTCCAGATTAAAAGAGTCTTAAATGTCTTTATACAAAAATCAGACTTGTTCAACTGCACAGGAGGTGCAAATGGGAGATTCCATGGGGTTCTTTGTTTGCCAGTGGGAGAGTCTCCCCCTTGTTGGTCCACAGGCTGTCTGGGTTGATGGTGGTCTCTGTGCAGAAGCCAGGGGGGAAGCAGTCAGACCACCCGCTACCCACAGCCGGTGAGCGGATTTCCTGGAGAGACAGGGCAGTGGCAGGCAGAAACAGATCCCCACTTCAACCAGATCCCTCGCATGCACAGAAGGCAAACACAGCTCCAGGACAAGATCCTCCCCTTCCCAACTGATGGGAACTGTGTCCCCCTTCACCTCTTCAGATTTGCTTAAGAACCCAACTGAGTTGTTTAATCATGAAGCGGAAGGCTGACCAGAATGGGAACTTCTGCTTTATTTTTAAATGTAGCACTGAGTGAGTACTCTAAAAGCAGAAAGGAGGAAGAGGAGGAGGAGGAGGAGACGATGATGATGGAGGAGGCTCCCCCTTCCCCTCCCTCTTGAGAGCAAAGGGGCTTCTGAGGAAGGTGGGGGGGGTAGCTGACTTACTCAAGGAAGCGGGTGATGTATTCCCGGCTGCAGAGGGACCAGGTGAGGGGCGAAGTGTCGTACAGGAGCTGTGGAGACATGATGAAAGGCCTTTTCCCAACTGGCTCACAGTCATTGCCGCTGCCGTCGTGCTGAATCCCAAAACTGCAAAGGCACAGCCCCCAAAGGAGGTGAGAGAGACGCACAGCAAAGGAGCATCAAAGCAGCCCCCCAAAGTCCTCGGGGGAAGGGGGTTCAAAGGAAGGACCTGGAAGGAGGTGAGGGGAACACCTTGTGGCTTCTAGGCACGTAACAGGGGTGCAAGAGAAACACCTCCCATTACACCTCCTGCGAAGGAGACCTTCCTGAGTGGGCTGAACAAGAGTGCTGGGAGGGGAGAGATTTTTCAATCTACGCCTCCATTACTGGAAATGGTGGCTATCAGAGAAGGCAAGACCCCAGCTGGCCAAGGCTCCTGTCAGTCAGGCTCACGTCATTTTGTGTGTGGCTGAAAAGGGCAAGCAGGAAGCCTGGGGGCAGGAGACGTGGTAGCAATTGTATCAACGGGAGTTACTGGGATGGGGGACCACCCAGAAAGGATCACCAGAACTACACTCAGAACCAAACAACTTGCAAAGGCCTTTCGTGAGATGGCTAGAGAATCCCGGGAGACCCACGGATCTGAAGTTGCTGAGGTTGAGGAAGACTGGTCCAGACCCCCCCCCCCCCAAGGTCAGAGTTGCAGTTGCAGATCACAAAATAGGCAAAGCCTTTGAGAAACCACAGCTGCTTTTCTCAAAGGAAGCTCCGATTTTCCATTTTTTATAACTTTTACCAATTCACATTTTTATGGGTTTTGAACAAAAGACAACCAATCGTTTTTATAGGCAGTTCTTGCTTATCAACTCCCTGGTTCAGCAACTGTTCCCATATGGTGGTGCTGCTCAATGATCGCCATGATAGTCAGTACACCTTGTCCCATGACTGGCCTGGTTTTCCTTTTTTCCCCTTGGAGAGCAGAGATTGTAGAAGAAAGGATTACAAAAGAGTAAGAAAGGACACAATAAAAAATACACCGGGTCTGCCGGTGTCAGCACATTGCTTTAGATTTATTTTCCACATTGCTTATTCTCTTGTAATCCCTTCCTCTCCAATCTCTCTGCTCTCCTGGGAGGGGAGGGAAGAAAAGAACTAAGCAATTTCTGTAGGCAATATTTCCTGTATATGACCCATTCTTTCTTTCACTCAGTGGAAAAATTGGAGGAAGGGATGACAAAAGAGTAAAAGCATACAATGAGAAGTGCACATTGAATGAAATATGCAGCCACCAATAGCCACAAGCATATTATACAAACAGCCTGGGAATACACCAGACTGTTTGCATAGTGTATTAGTGGCACCAGGGCATTCCTTTCAATGTGTAATCCCCATTGTGTATTTGCTTACTCTCTTATAATCCTTTTCTCTCCAATGAATGTAAATACATACATTAATTCACTTCTTGTTAATTATTCCAACACCCTGGTGAGCATTCCAAAGGGTGAGGAAGTGGTTAGGAGACAAACAAAAGCTGAACATTTGAAATTGATTAGTCTTATCAATTTCAAGCTGGAAAGGGTTGTGGTCACATGATTTCCCATTAGTAACCACTTCATTTTGTGATGGAATTGCCAGTCCCAATTGTGGATGCTAAAGACGTGTACTTTTACATGCTATGCAAGCATGTGGCTTAAGAGAGCTTTAAAAGAAAGCAGATGATTTACGGCTGTCCACTAGCATCCCAAAAGGGATTGTTTTGTCTACAGTTGTACTACTGTACATGTGTGTCTCTCCTCTCCACCCATTTTCTGTTAGATGGAGATAACGCTTTCAATGTTTTCTGTCAAGTCCTTGTCAGCCAAGCACAACCAACACCAAGACTTCACCCACAATTTCCTTGATGTGACTCATAAAAAAGGAATGGAGCAAGGTTACAAAAACTTCAGCAACTGGACAACCAGAGCCCCAAATCTCCCATCTTATTCAAGGGGCAGACTTTGGGGGTGGGGGGTTTCCATTGAAGGACCCTGTGAACAGTGAAGAGGCAAATCATCTGCCTGGGGCTGAGAATCTCTCCAGCTGTGAACATGCTAGGACACCCCTTTCCAGGGATCAACTACTGCAAATCTCTGCTCAGGCCAAGATGCCCGCCTGCAGCCTTACCTGTGTCCCAGTTCGTGGGCCACGGTGAAGGCCAGTGGGAGACCCGTGTCCTCATTCACGTTGCAGCTCCGGTGGGGTTGGCACATGCCAGAGACATGGGCCAGGCCCAACGTCTCACACGGACGGTTCATGGCAGTGCAGAGATCCTTCCTTTCCGAGTCAGGGAGAGGCACACACAGACACAGAACAAAAGAGAGGATCATTGTACTGAGCAAGACCCCAAACATGCTCAGCATTTCAGGTCCAGTGGCAGGACATCAGGGCGGTGGGCATCTCAAGACACTGTGAGGCTCCTTTGAAATCTGGTCTCCATTAAGAATCTCCTCTCTTCAAAGACCTTCAGTGACATGGACAGATGTTACAGACAGCACTAAAGCCACAGGGATACCTGGTGAGCAAGATGGCCACATCATGGTGCAGGGGGTGGGCATCTCCCTTGGGGTTGAGAGCTTTCTGCCACTTGCAAAAACTTCTCAAGGTGTTGTCGGCATGGTGGCTGATTTTCAGATCCTCCTATGGAAAGAAAATTAGAACCCTCAATTTAACAGACAGAGACGTTGTGCTGGTATGATTATTATTGCTGACAAAACATTGAAAACCATGAAAAGCAATTAAAAACTTGACCTATAACAAAAACAGGGTATATAATAATTATTATAATTTCCCCATTTCTCCAAAACTGAGATTGTTGAACTCCTATAAAGATTTTACCCATCTCAGAAACCCTGAACAAACAGAAACACCCCTTGCCCTAAAAAAAGAAGACATCAAGGCAGCAAACCCCAAAGAATTCATGTGCAAAAGGGATTTTAGTGGCCGCCTGGATCAGCTTTAAAGCAACTGCAAAGGGCTTTTTGTAGCCAGCACTGCAAGAAGCCTAAGAAGGCAGTGAAATTGCTGCAAGGAGAAACAAGAGGACGCACAGACTATGGACTATGGCAGAGGGAGATGAGACAGAGCGGTGGAGGCTGCAGAATGAACACCATCCGGTTTCTCTTCTTCTGGGTCCTGAACCGACAGAGAAGAGAAGAAGGAGCTCTACATAATGTCCTCCTCCTCCTCTTCTTCTTACCTCCTCGTTTTCCAGAAAGATAAGACGCACAATAGAGATATGGACCGGGTTCCCAATGCTGGCATCATGGAATAAACCAGCCACCTGCATGAGGGAAGAAGTGGAGTCGCTCGGTGAGTTCTGCACACAGGAAGAGAAGCTCTCTCCTGGGCCACAAATGTATCCCAAGTGTTTCAATCAACCAAATTCGCCCAAAGTTCTTCTCAGAAACGCAGCCCTTCTCCCGGCTGAGAGATGCCCTTTGCCTGTTCCACAACCAGCAACCTTTCACCATGCTTACCATGTTCATGACCGTCAGGACATACTTCTCAACATGCTCGCTGCCGTGATACTCCACCATCTTGGTGTCAGCCACCACCAGGGTCTCCACCCACTTCTCCTTGCTGACTGAGCGTGGCTTGATTCGGCGTTTCCTCTGCTGCTTCTCCTCCCAATGTTCTCTCCACTTCTCTGAGCCCTCGGCATTTCCTTGAAATTGGGGGAAACAGGAGATGACAACGACATCCCAATATCATCATCATCATCTGACTTCATAATCCCTTGTGGGGTGGAGTCCAGGCAACTGAATGGAGCTAGCAGAGCATTTAATGGCTGGATGCTCTTCCTGTCACCAATGCGGAGCTTTGCTCAGAGAGAGGAATATCTGCCTCTACCTAGGATCGAACTCACAGCCTCCTGATCGTGAGATGAAAGCGCCATGTCTAGGCCACCGCACCACTCTACATAAGGACCTCCCAGTATGGGACCTCCATATCCTCCCAGTTTAGCCCAACCATGGTCTTCCCTTTTTCCAGGGGGACTGAGCTCCCCAGCCACTGCACGTTAGAACTGGACTCAGCCTCTGCCACCTGTTCCTGACCAATCCAGGAGTCACAGTGACGTCAGTGATCAGTCCGGGTTCAATTCTGACCTCTGATTGGCCCCAGTTCTGCTCCTGCCTCAGAAGCCACTGCCACCTTAGTTTCCAGATCCATCCTGGGCCACTTATCATTTCCTTTGGAGCCAAACGGCCACCTCTGAGCTAAGACCGCAAGAAAAGAGAGGAAGGAGGTGGCCATTGGTCTCTTCCTCCCCTTTTGAAGTCCATCCAGCTTGATGGCACCACAGCTTTGGATGAGAGGCTGCTTGCCACGGCTGGCAAAAGCTCTCCCAGCTTGAAACCTTTTGGTCCCTTTTCTGCCTCTCTTACAAATGCTGCCAGACACCCATCGCCAACTTCCCTCCATAGAAAAATGGGTCCCCATATCAACCCACTTGCCCCACCTGAGGCTGCCCAAGGAGAAGGAGAAGAAGGGGGACCTGTGGCTCCTGACCTCTGCTTATCCCACTTGGCTGCTGAAGGCCTTTCCTTCCCCTCCTCTCCCCTCCCTTTATCCCACTGCAATAATCCTGGGAGTCCCTAAAGGGTGTTATTTGTTTCGGTGCCACCACCAAACCCTTCCCTGGTCTAGAAATCCTTGTTTGCATCCATAGACTTCGTTGCTTAGCCTTCTGAGCTCTCATGCATTCCCACTCCCCCCAGGAGTCTCAGGCCCTCTGAGCAGCCCCTCCCTCCAAACATAAACTCAGAGGAGGTGCCCACATTCCCTTGCTATGATTGGCAGTTTCACCACCCAATCACCCCAAGTACCAGATAACTAAGGACAACTGAAGACTGGCTCCTCCCCCTTCCGCCCACACCGGGGATGGGGCCAAGGCAAAGGGCCACTCGGACACACTTGGCCCTTTTTGGGACCCAAAGGGTGGCCGGCTGCAGGGCTCCCTCCCTTTGTCTGCCCCAATTTCTGAAGAAGGGAAATCCTTCTGTTGAGCTGTGTTTTCCCCAAGAAGTCTAATCCTCTTTCTTCTACGTCCCTTTCAGCAACCTTGGACACAACAAAAAGAAAACCATTTCCCTCACCCAGAGATTGGTTGGACATTTGGGATAAATGAGGGCATTGTCTTAGGATGGGCTGCTCCCACCACCTTCCATTGCTGCCAATCAGGCGGAGGAAGGATGCTTGTTTCTTCTAGAGGAAAGGAAATGAGTGGCTAAGGAGAGGCAACAGGGACTGCATGGAGGCCAACAGGGTGGACCTTTGCTCTGTAAACAGAGCCGGGGAGGGGAGGGGAGGGGCCGAACCACAGCTGGTCCGAGGAGAAAAGAGGTGGGGGGAGTGCCATCAAAATGGTTTCTGGAGGAAACTAGTTTATAAAAGGAAAAGTTTACTACTACTTCAATTTATGTAAAAATATTTTCCACGACAATCATCAGGGAGCATCGTTTTTGTCTAGCACATTTTATTGAAAGGCACAAACTCCTTCCTTTAATAAAACGGATTAGTCAGAAAAGGTGCTCCCAGATCCCTTTGGATTCCGGGCTCACCCAGCTCCGGTCCTCCTGTGAGAGTTCCCTTAACCACCCCTGGAAATGGGATTGATTGAAGTGGTTTCTTCCAAGTTTTCTACAACTGTAATTGGAATCTTCTCTTTGTGCAGGGAACTCTTGAGCTTTGATGAAGCTCCCAGGCGGACCTTGTCTGAAGTGGTATAGGATCTGTGGCTTGAGCAGAGGGTTGGACTAGAAGACCTCCGAGGTCCCTTCCAAGGCCCCTATTACTCTGTATTCCTAACTGAGCCCCATCATCCCAAAGGACCTGCTACAAACTCCCCACTCCCTCCCCAATGGCTGCTGGCCACTGCCCTCCTGGCCATTTTGGGCTTCAGCTGCAGAACAGAGACAGTCTGGGCAACCACTTCCGACATAAGGCCTGACTGGGGTCTGCAGAGGTTCTCAGTCCTCCAGGTCAGGGTTGTTCCAAACTGGACTTCCCTGTTTTTTCTTCTGAAGATGTTTTGTTTCTCATTGAGAAGCAAAACCTTTTCAAAAGAAAAAGTCAAGTTGCCTCCCGAAAAAGCACCTTTGGCTCTGACTGGTGGTTGGTTAAGCCAGGTTGGGGTATTGTGCCCATTCTTTGCATGCCCAGGTCTCTTGGAAGCCCATTCGAGCTGCTCTGAAGTCACATGTAGCAGGCTTTCCCAAGAGCAGCAGAACTGCAGTGAAATAGGATTGGAGCTGTTTGCACAGAAAGGTCCCTTTGCCCTGGGAAAAAAGGCCCTTGGTTTCTGCCAGCTGGTTGGTGTCACACAGGACACGTTACTCATTTCCCACCCCTCCAGTGGGCCAGGGGTTAGCAGCGCCCCATGCTGGGGGATTGTCACTTTATGTCCCCATAGGAGACTTCTGGCTGTGGCTCATCACGGCTGCTTGCCTCAACACTGCCATTCCTACATTTGCAGCACAGACTGCAAGAGCTGGTGAGGCTGGCCAGGCTCTGGCCTCTTCCTTTCCATCGGGAAGGACAGAAGACCTGTAGATCTGTGGGTGAATGAGCTGCACTGAGGAGTCCATGAGGTGGAGGTGGAAGAGGAAGGAAGACCGCTCCCTTTCTCTATGCTGCAGCCCTTGTCCATCCCACAGAAAGACAGCCAGGCTGTTTCTTTCCACCAGGCCACCAGGCTCCAAAACAGCTGGGCGATTGGAACCTGAATGGAGTGCTCTTGCACCAGAGACCTCTCCCCTGGATGACTGGCAAAGCAGCTCGACTCTGTCCCAGGCCCCCCATCCCCTGGGCAGGCGGTCTCCCGAATGGCTAGAGGTGCTGGAGGGAGGGGAATTTCACCAAAGGCAGCACAGCTGCAGAGACCAGCTGCTGTAAGCCTCCCCATTCTTTGGCAAAGGAAAGGTCAGCCAAGAGCTGGAGGATTGTGCCCACGCAGAAGAGCCAGGGTCGGTCCCAAAGAGAACCGTTCCTCCCGCGAGAGAGGATTTGACTGGGATTTCAAGGGAGAAGGAGCCGGTCAAGAGCCAAGGGACTCCCGAACCAGGAAACATTACCTTGCACCCCGCACATCCGGACAGAAGTTGGCTGCTTCCTGGTTATTTTCGTGCTCAGGACCGAAATAAACTCTTCGGCTTCGTATTCCCAAATGTGCCGTCGAGATATCCTGTGTGGTTGGGCTGCGCCCTCCCTCAGGTTGCTGGGAGCCAGCGGCTCAATTAGGAAATCTTGGCCAGCCAGATGAAAGACGCCTTTCTGGAGAGGAAATGTCATCGGTCCCTAAGTGCTCTTGGTCGGCAGGAAGTGGCCGGCCACTGCAGCATGTGGGATTGCAATGAGCAAGGAGATGGAAGAAACACCTTCTCCTTTCTCCTAGGGATGGACAGACAGACAGACACACACACATGGAGACACAGACACGGACACACCCTTGGGAAGCTAAGAAAAACTAAGCAGTGGGAAAACTTTGCCTTTGAAATTGCTGGGCAAATCCATTCAGCCTCCACAAGCAGAGATTGGGAACAGCTGGCTGCCCTGGGAAGACTCGGGATCTCAGCCCTAGATCAGGGTGGCTCAAACTTGGTTCCACAAGAACGTGATGAGGCTGCCTGAGAGATGAAGGGCAAGGAAACAAATCCTCTCCACTCAAATGCAGCCCAATTTTATCACTAGAGCTTTTCTCCCCATCAGGGATTCTGGTTTATGAATGAATGAATGAGTCTGAAAAGATTTGAAAATTGCTGCTTTAGACCCAGAGGCCAAAAGGTGTTTTAGAGCAGCATTAACTAACCATTCTCACTCTAAGGACTAGCAGATGGGGGGGGGGTAGTTTTGTAGGGTTGGGGAGCCCTGCTTCAGAGTCTACAGGAGCCATGTGTGGGGCAGCCTTGCTAATCCTGAGGCAAGGCTAGCTTTAAAATGGACACTGAAACAGACCCCCAAAGCCCTGAAGCCCCTTGCTGCCATCCCATCCAGAGCCCCAAGCAGTTCTCCTCTGCCCTCTTACTCCCTTGTGTCCAGCCTGGGGGGGGAGGGGGAGGAAGGGGGGGGGGTCAGAGCAAAGGAGGACTTCTGTGGGAGGGGATTCACAAGGACGGCTCCCAGGGAGGTAACCTCACAGCAACAGATTCCAAAGCAAAATCTTTCCTGAAGAAACATCTGTTTATAAAAAAAACCCAGACTGTGAGATGCAGTTGTGCTGACTTCACAGAACCCTGATTGCCCTACCAGATGTTGAACAAAGAAGGAATTCAGCCAGCGGGGCTCCTCTCGGCAGCACCAGAGAGGGGGCCAGAACCAAGCTGGCCTGCCCCCCCCTTCACCCCAGGACACTCACCAGCCCATCGCAGGTGCTGAGGGCCGCCATCCCACTTCCTTGCTCCTGGTTCTGGACAGACCCGATCATATGACAGGGGTTCCGCCCGGAGGCTCGAATCCTGGCCCGGGAGATACCTCCATGCCGCTTTTCCGTCACAAAGCCAGGCGCCAGGAGGTGAGGGTTGAGGCTCAGATTGAACCGCAGCTGCTGCCCTCGGTGAAAGAGGGCGTAGAAGGTCCCGGTCCGAGTCCGTGAGAAAATGGCCCTCTTTGACAGCAGACGGTGGGTCAGATTGTAGGACAGGAAGGCGCCTCTCTCGTCCACCCGCACGGGGTACACCACCTCCTGGTCCTCGTAGCCGGGATCGGGCCCCTGAGTGGATCCTGCACCGGGAGAAAGCCCTGTTGAAGGGTGGGGGGAAACAGCCTCCAAGGGATTCTGCACCCCACATTTGTCTTCATTTGGCAGATGCTCTCCTGGTGGGGGGGATAGACGTCCCAGTCCCTCTCTTTGGGTGGGATGCGGAGGGGGCTCTTGTGCGGGGCTTTGCTCCCACCGGGGGAGGGGGGGTCCCAGGCCGCCCTTCTGCAGCTACAAGAGGCCACAACTTTGGGGGGTTCTTCCCACCACCCCGGCCCGCCTCCGCCTGGGGGGCGAGCTGCCCTCGAAGGGGCTGCGGCTCCTGCAGGGCTGAGCCGGCGGGGAGGAGTGGAGGTGGCGCGCCGGCAGTCTGGGCGAGGACAATGGGCGAGGGCCGGGGGGGCTCCGGCATCTCTTTGTCCGCCGCGGCGCTTCTCCCGCAGCAGCGCCTGTCGGACCGCCAGGCAGCCCCTCGCCAGCCGGGGGCCGCCTCTCTGTACCCACCTGGGGACTCGGCGCGCGCCCCCCGGGCCAGCAGGAGGGCGGCGGCCAGCACCAGCAGCGAGCGGGCCATGCCTGGCGGAGCCGGCGGGGCGGCCTCAAGGGGCGGGCGGAGGAGGCGCCCCGGACCTCCGCGCT